CAGAGAAGGTTCGGGGGAGACCTTCCTGCAGCTGCCAGGGCTGAGAGGGGCTGAGGAGAAAGATGGGGACAGACTTTTAGCAGGGCCTGTTGCGATAGGACAAGGAGTAACAGTTTGAAACTAAACGAGGGCAGATTTAGACTAGATCTAAGACATTTTTGACATTGAGGGTGGTGAAGCCCTGGCCCAGGTTGCCCAGAGAGGTGGTGGATGCCCCATCCCTGGGAACATCCCAGGTCAGGCTGGACGGGGCTCTGATCAACCTGATCTGGTTGGGGATGTCACTGCTCACTGCCGGGGGTTGGACTGGATGACCGTTACAGGTCTCTTCCAACCCAAACTATTCTATGACTCTATGACTCTATGTGTTGTGTTGGTTGGCAGAGGTTTTGGCCTGTTATCCTGGGAGGTCTGGGAATTGGCTTTGCTGAGCTCTGCTTTGTGTGTGTTTCTGCATGGTGAACTGCTGCTTGTAGCCGCTGTGCTCAGCGTGCAGCATTATTCTTCCTGTTCAGGTTGTTTGTTCCAGTCTTCACGTTTGCTAAAGTGTTGGCATTGCAGTCTCAACAGAGTATTTTGTGGGCACTTTAAGCCTTGCTGTCTGTTTTCATGGCTTTTTTAATGCATGTTTTGCAATATATTGTACTTCTATCCATTCGATTCCATTCCATCCCATTTTTCTTTTCCTATTTCCTTGAATCCCAAGCATCTCAGTTCTTGTAGCTCTATCAGACTCAGCTATGATACAAAACCAAAGTGAAACATTTTCACAGGTTACCTTGGCAGAGGAAGACTGGAAAATGGTGTGTGTGAAGGCTCAAAAAAAGAGGAAATTATGAAAACAAATAAAAAATGTGTAAAAATCTCACATTCTTAATGGCTATAGCAATGGACTATATTGTGCCTCAAAAAGACGAAAGAAGTAGGACTCCTACCATGTATCATTAACTAGCTAAGTTTAGTTTCCTGGTCTCCCTTTACTAGCAGTGAAGAAAAACAGCCACTTCTGGATCGCGATACGTTTTCTACTCCTGTGAAAGTATGTGTTGAGAAATTTTTAGTCATCTTAGTTACTATGACCAATGGAAACTCTGAAAATACTTAGGGAAGTTTGGATGGGCCGTAACTAATGTGAGGTTCCATTCTGTATTGCAAAAAAGTGTGTGGTGGGGAGGACAGAACCAAATCCATGATCTACGTGGACATGCGGTGTGCTTCAAAGCAGAGCTTATTATGTTTTATTAGGTCAAAGCCAAATGAAGATTTTTTTTATATTTGAGTTATATTTATTCTAGTATAACATATTTGTTTATATATGGTTTTATAACTATACATGGAGCATGAGAAAGAAAGAGTGGGTTTGGTTATATGAATCTTGGAAGCTCTGCTTTAAACTCCTGGTTAATTTAGAAACTTACTTTCCTACTTTCATTAAAAATATATGAAGAAAAAATCATTATAGTATTTCCAAAGTGAAATATTTAATTTAGGAAATACCTATGTGTCCTCACTTTAGAATTATTTTTTTAAGGCAGGTTTTATGTTAATTTCTGGGCTCTGGTATCTGTAGCACCTTTGTCATTAATTCCAAAGGAGCCATCCCAAGTCCTGTTCCAATACTGCTAATGAGACACATCTGCCCAGCTCAGGACTTGCTCACTTCATAACCACTGACTATCACCAGTGTTGGAGTGTCTCCATACAGACCATAAGAACAATCACAGGACTTCTCTGGCTGCTTGAATCACTCCCCAGGCTCATCTGGGGTGCAGATGTGGGTGGTGCATATAAGCAGGCAGCTAGATGTTGGAGTGAATCTGGGAATGATGTAACTCAACCGTGCAGCGCCCACGTAATTTATTTTGCATTCATAGACTTTTCTTTTCCACATAGGTATGGGGCTTTCAGTCCAGCTGACAGCAGTCATCTTCGTCCTGGTATTGGTATCTACACACCATCCTACTGCAGGTAGTTCTGCTCTGTAATGGGTTAATTTCGCTCTGTACTAAATCCATCTCAGAGATTATGAATGGATTTGAACTGATGCCCCCTGTGACTTTCTTCGCCACTGAAGGAGGTCCAGATTTAGATGATTTCTTTGGATTTCATGTGAACACAGATGTATATTCTGGGATTCAGTGTGCTTAACTGTAGGCATTAAAATTGAGCACCTGAGAGCTATTTGTCTAAGGTACGTGTACAGTCAATAGGAGAAGATGGGCCCTCCCAGAGCACATCTCTGATTCCCATGGAATTAATCACTCTGTAGGGAACGCAGTTTCTCCACGGTTTCTCTACAAGATGATTGCCTCAACGAGATACTTATCTTTTAGGTGGCTAAAATTTGGTGAGATAATATACCTAGATAACCTAATGTTGTCAACACTACAAAGGGAGGTGATAGGTAAATTTGTCTTGCATGATGTATGGCAGCTCTGGATGCTTGTAATTTGTAATGGATGGCTTCGTGTTTCAAATGCATCTACGTGCTTTTCTTCATCCTCAAATTTGCAGCTGCTGCTCCTGATCAGAGCTGTGGGAGGACGCGCTAATGCCATAGGATAAGGCCTGCAACTTCAGTGGGGAAAGGGCATCCTAAATGCAGGGCTTCTCACAGACTTCTTCCCCCTTAGCCTTTAAAACCCCTGTGATTGCTGGGCACAGCTCACCCGCTTGTCTCTCTCTCTCCTGTAGGTGGTGGCCACGATCCATTGCTTGTCTTGGGTGGTTATGAAGATGATGGTATTCGACTCAAATGTGTCTCTGAGAGGCTGTTTTCTGAAAACAGAAGTTCAGGTGTTGTGGACAGATGGTAGGGGAGACAATGTCACTGGGACTCCTCTCACCACCGGCAGCACCACTGCTAATGCCAGCAGCAGTATCATTCTAAAACCAGGATCTGGAAACTCTGTGTCCTGCAAAATAATTGATAAACTGCTGAAAACGTCAACAGAATCTTCAGTTGTCATTGCGGGTGAGTATGAGCTTGTGTCCTCGTGGTCTGGCAGGAAAAATAGTGAGCTGATGCGCACAGAGCAGATTATGCCAGGACCCCAAATTTCTTGTGGAATAGAATCATCAGTTTTCACAGATGTTTTCTTCTATGATACCTCTAGGTCTTTGCCCTGAACCACCATTAGTTTCCATGGACAATTCCCAAACATTGTCAAAATACTAATTTAAAAAAAAAAAGTGCGTGGTGCCATCTGGGGGAAGTGAAATCTTGTTATCAGGTCATGCCTATTCTCACTCGCATATTTCTCATTTTCTTCTGCTTCTATTTCTATTGCTATAACATCTAATGCAGTGGTTTACACAAATCTGATGGTGCTTTGTAAAATAGTCTCAGGATGTAAAAGTCAAAGTCAACTGCTCCTACAGCTGTCTAGGAACTAAATTTATATCTAAATTCATTTTGTTTTACTTTAGGCATGTAATCAAAGTATAAAGGTGGTAGTTCAAGGAAAGTTATAATTGATCATCTGAAATAATTTGCAGATGTCTTCTTTCCTGCCACCTCCACTTGGCTGGCGGCTTTTCTCGTGATCCTGCTCTTGAGCTTATTCCTGGTTATCTTTGCAATTTATAAACTCAGAAGTAAGTTCCACTCAATGCTAAAGTGATGAATGGTTCATACAATCCAGTTGAAAGACAATGTCACCATGTCCAGAATTATATGGGGAGGAGGGTACAGGATTATGAACAATCACCCTCGTGATTTTTCAAACGTAGCTTTTTACTGTATTTTTGCTTTCCTTGCATATCCATTTTTAAGCATCTCTTAGCTAGTCCAACACCTTGGGTTATAAACCTGTACAATCACATTTGCCAATCTGAATTGACGTATTACTATAGTGAAATTATCATTGCAACTTAATCTCTTTTTTTAAATAAAGCAGTTCTTGCAAATAGCTGAAATATGTTAGTGTACCCACATGTATCCACTGGCTTAATTTATTTGCAAGTCATTTTATTGCTTTATAAGCTAGTTTCAAACTAAGTCAGTTCTACAACACAAGTCTGTTGCCAAGACAGCATGCCAAGTATGCATTTTTTCTGCTTTCAGCATCCCTAGTTTTCTTCATGAAATTCTGTGTTTCTCATTATTTTAATGGAAGATATAAGTACATGTTAATCAAGATATTTTGAAAATAATTTTTTCCTTACCAACCATGGCAACCATGAAATATGAAAAGTTCCATTTGAAAACCTACAAGCAAGAAGAAAGTAAAATAACATTTTCCTTCTCCCTGCCTCTCTCTTCTCTCTCTCAGAGAACAATAAGACAACTACTCATGACAGTAAGTCATATTAATACTATATTTCATCATTAACATCTTGAAAAATATGCGCAACAGTAGAAATGTTGGCCAGAGGAATAAACCATGGGGCTATTTTATGGAGATTCTTGCATCCTGTTTAACCTCAGCCTTTCTGACTGCAGATGTTGAAAGAAGAGGTAAAAAGCTTTTGGCACAAGTCAACTTTTGTGCCAAAACTTTCACACGTTTTCTTGCCCCTGACCCACTATCTAAAAGTTTACCATT